AAAGTTCCTCTAAGCTCTCTATCACTAATCCAGATTAAAAACCACGGCCATAAGCTTACTGCACGCTATGAGGAAGATTCTGTTTTTCTGCACGCTATGAGGAAGTCGTTAAATTCAGATTTTACTATTAAATAGTTACAAGGTAAAATCAACGAAACAGAGATTTTATGTACAAAATTAGAGAACGTGCATCAATGCTAACAAATTACAGCATCTGTTTATTCACAAGCATAAAAGCGAAAAATAAATGCTAAGATTATTTCGGGAAAAAATCCTAGTAGTTAACAAAACATCTTGGAGTCAGATTTAATTCGAGCCTCAATTGGAAGAAGCATGCAGCAAATCATATTCTGTTCGTAAAACTACTGATGGGATTTCTAGAATAAAATGACTTTACGATTTTTTTACCACTAGAAACCTCTTAAATAGTGCAGAATATATATATGATTATTACAAAAATTTACTCTCACCTATACGTCTCGGTTTGGCACTCAGAACTAGTAATTCCTTAATATTAATTACAAACATTCCAAAACAGCATACAAAAAACAATTACAGCAGCTCCTTGGTTTTTTGTGCACAATATCTTCATAAGGACTGAAAACATGAAGAAGCATATTCATACGTTGAACTAGAAATTTGTTAACAAGGCAATGAAAGTGAAGATTGCCAGTTATGCAGACAATTTCAAGTATAATCGATTGACGTAGCTTTTAAAATCAGATCAAACAACATCCACCTACATCATGATTAGTTACTAGACTGTTAACTGTACATCGCTGTTAATTTTTTACATTTATGTATTTTCTTCATCTTAAACATGTTTTGCATTTGTATTTTCATATTTTGAGTAAGTTTTGCATTTGTATTTTTGTATTTTTCACACATGTTTTAGTAAGAATTTTCATTATTTCAATTTCTATTTCGACATCATTTGATTAATTACAATTGAGTGTTGCTAGGTTTGAATTTTCTCAGCTCAGGTTTATTCTGCTTATCTTCACAGGGACTCTGGACTTGACAAGTAACATTCGGAAATTTCGATTCATTTGCTGATGCATGATATAACACTTTATATTGAAAGCCTTTACTCATGCAATTAAATAAAGTATCCTAAGTATACAACAACGAGGTGACGCAAAGATGAAGCGAACTATAAGGAAAAAAATCTTCTTAGATTGTTATATCAAGATGAAATATTAATGAGATTTTTTAGAAAACTTGCGATTAGTGACCCAGTGAAGTTCATTGTTAAGATTTGGAGTGAAACGTTTGATACTACTTTAAAGCCCTACATATAATAAGGAAAATTTTGGAGAATAAGAAGTAAGAAAATCAATCCCATTGTTGAAATCGTTTCCAGTATCTTTCCTTGATAAATGACTTTAAAAGGATAAACAAAAACAGAGAAAAAAAAAAAAAAAAAAAAAAAAAAAAAAAAAAAAAACCATTGCAAAGTTACTACTGAAAGACGAGAACGATGAAAATTATAAGATTTTCAGCGTGTTAGCTTAAATTACAACACGAGCCAATAGAATGGATGGAAAAAGTAAGTGAAAATGAAGGTAAAACTGCAGAAGTTGGCCAGGATGAAACATTCGAGTGTGCAATGAGTTATTACATTATAAAGGTCAGTGAATTGAGTTCGAATTTAAGGACGTTATGGATTAGCGCAGGGTTATTTAAACTGCAGAAACGAATGACGAATTATATAGTAGAGCTCTGCAAACTTTTTCAAAAGCAAAATCATTCTTTGTAAGTTTTATTATTATTATAATTTAACTCTATTTTAAATACTATGCTAAATCTATTTTACGCGGGTTTTTTTTATCTTGTATAGGATTTTTTGTCAATTATTTGCATTTCCCTATTTTCTGTGCTCAATTCTTCAATAATTAACGGAGATAACAGGAAATTAAGTATATGTTACAGCCTAAGTCTTTTCTTCCATAGCGATTAATTTGATAGAGAAAAATAAATAGCTGAGCTAATAGTAACAATATTTTCAAAAATTTTGACTAAACCATTATTTACATTCTTTTTAACAGTTACAAATACTTTCAAAAAATACGCAAAAAACATAATTTTAAAATCTTCAGATCGTACTGCCTAATTCCAGATATAAAGTTGTAATCTGTGCTATTGAATAAATATTTCTTTAGGGTATTTGTAATATTTAAAAAGCGATTATTGATAAAAAAAGTCTTCCAAGCTAAGAATTTTCGATATTGTTTAAGTTACTCAACTAACTAAATCCATGAGCAGACTGCGTATATTCCTTTGTTTGTTGTAAATATGCCCACTAGCGGCAGAGCGGTAAAACCGCTGAATACTGGTAGTTCGACCAAGGCTCCAATCCGAGCAAACGAGATTAGGCTGCATGTAAGTTTTCGTGGTTTTCTCCAATGTAACTTTATTACTAAAAGATAAAAGTATAACTTCAAGGATTATGCTTTTATCTATATCCAATGAAAGCTTTTCTTTAAGTTTTAGTATATTTTTATGTTCAACAAATGCTTTGAATACAATGAGTTTTATCTATATCCAATGAAAGCTTTTCTTTAAGTTTTAGTATATTTTTATGTTCAACAAATGCTTTGAATACAATGAGTTTTATCTATATCCAATGAAAGCTTTTCTTTAAGTTTTAGTATATTTTTATGTTCAACAAATGCTTTGAATACAATGAGTTTTAAATTTGAAACTTTCTTATGTTTAGTAAGACTCGAACTTCTCTCTCTCTCTCTCCTCTATATATATATATATATATTTTATATATAATTCTCGGTAAAATTAGTAAAATTTTAAGAGCTTTTTTTTTTTTTTCGATCAATGAATTCATTTCTTTATTTTTATTTCAATAAATGTCAGAAAATGTTTTTAATACGCAAAGAATTGTCATCAATACAACATAAATAACTCAGTATAGTGAGGCTAAAATATTTAGATTTAACTTATGCATATTATGAATCGAAAATTAGTCTCATTATTCACGCAGTTTCAATGAAATGACTCACGTAAATGACTATTATAGTATTCTCTAACAGATCTGTAATGAATATATTTCGCTTATGCTCATAATCACAATTCATAGTCAATAAAGCTTACTTTACTTAATTCATTTCTTAATTTGAAAGGTTTGGATTACGAGAAATCATTCAAGAGGTGTAAACTAGTGCAACCTTTTTAAAACCCTTTGTATACCTGTAGATAACGTTGCGATTAAATAAATATCTGATTTTTTTAGATTTAGAAAAGGCAAAAAAAAAAAATGCTGACTTATAACTCACTCACTGATTTAGCTATATGTTGCAAAATCGTAACATTCTATCGTAGAAATTCTATTTGGAAAAGGTAAAAAAATGCGGACTTTTAACTCGCTCACTGATTTAGCTATATGTTCCAAAAACGTAGCATTATCGTAGAAATCCTATCAATATGATAAAAAAAGTCATGATAAAAAAAAAGGGTGTGAAAATGAAGAGCTACTTAAATATAAAGAGAAAAATGCAGACAGTTATATCAGTATTTGTTCTTAAAAAAATTTACGCTTCCTGTCAATCACTACGTTAACTTTTTCTCTAGATAGTAATTATCAGCATGAGATACCGAAACGCGAAGCCCCATTATACAGATATATGCCACTGCATGGTATCAATGTCGCATTGTAGAAGACTTTCTTTTTTTCTCTTCTGCCCTACCCTCTTTATTTTAGTTTTCATTATCTCTTGGTATTAAGTTTGTTGTCTTGCTCATATTTATAATTTAACGAATACTCGAGCCCTTACGTAGAAGCTCGAATTCCGTTTGCTTTTCGTAAAAGAAATTATGATTAACATAATAAAACAAAATTATGAAACAAAAAAGAATTTAATAGACAGAGTCCGTAAACACTGCATTCATTAATCAGTCTTGTTTTATAGTCTCGGTATCAAATGGGATGTGTATCTGTTATTTATTTGCACTACTTGTACTTTCCGCGTGTTCAAAATTTGCATAATTTATTTTTATTTAGGGGTATAAATTTACAAACAAAAAGAAAAACATCTTTTACTCTGAATATTTTTAAAACTTTTATTTTAGATAAAGAACTTGCAATTTTATGCAAAAAAGCTTGCAATTTTATGCTTTTTTCACACAAAAAAGGCAATAAATTTTTATCTAACAACTTTTTATTAATTTATTAAAATTCAAATTCTGATTACGGAAAATGACTAACAGAAGCAGTTTAAAATAGCATGCAGAAAAGCGTAATGATTAGCAAATTCTTATTTTCGTAAAAAAAAGCATACCTAAGATTTAGAATCTTGATTTATGATTTAAAAACTTATTTTACGCTAACCTTTTTCATTTAATATTTTTTTCTAATTAAAATATGTTTTTATAATTAAAAATAACATTTTAAATTAAAAAAAATATTTTCAATTATAAATCGAACACAACCAATGCAATTAATTGTAACACAGTATTAAATGTTCTTTAAGTCTGAAAAGTTAATTAAGAAAAAATTGTTAAGAAAAAAAAAGCTTTTCATGACTATTTCAAATTTAGCTTAAACAGCTTTAAATTTTAATGTGCATTCTCGCGATCGGGCTGGCTTCACAGTTTTAATAATTTACCCATGCATGCGTAACAGTTATGAAAGGGACTTTCTTAGAAAACATGTTCACGAAGGCATCTCTCCAGTTAGACAGATAGCCTTTGCGTGCTTTCTTATAAGCATTTAACCAAGCTAAATTTTCAAATGGGTAAATTTTATCACTCGTATTTACGTCAGTCAGTCCAAACTTTTTTTTTTTTTTTCATTAATTTCGTCAATATAAAGTGCACATTTTTATCAACTTAGTTATTTAATTGATATATCATCATATCTCATGCAACGAGACTGAACTAATTTAAATAGCACAATAATTAGCAATGTGTTATTTTTTATATATTTCCTACATATAAAAATTTCTTATACATAAGATACCCTTTAAATGATTTAGAAGAGAACTTACCAGTGATGAGGACTGCTTTCTCAGCTGGACAGACTTTCAACTTCGGAATAATTGATAATACCCATCGAGTCAATACGTTAGCTGTGTATACTACCACTATAACCCATCCTATTACACCAAACATAGCATTGACACTATTCCACATCGAAGCAATGGAAATTAATCCTCCCAAAATAAGAAGAAACAAAATTCCCGCCACAAACATAGTTCCCATCTTGAAATCCTGAAGGTGAGAGCGTACCGTTTTGCTTAACTTAAGAAAAGCAAAGCAAAGACAATGCGATTCGGTTTTGCCTCGGTACACGCAAACGAAAGCCTTTTCCTCTTCTTTTTATTGGCAGCTCTTCACGGGAGCGGTTCTGACGAATGGCATCTATCTGATAGGATAGGAGGCGCCAAACACCTCAAGCATTTCCTGATTGTTTATATTCCCAGGCACACGGGCACAACAGCGGAATTAATTTGACTTGTGCACCAACACATTAACAGCCGTTCTTCTGTTCAGATCGTACAGTATATAGCAGTTGTTCTCAATCTTTTTTTATCTCATACACTCCTATAACTACTGCTGGAAAATTACTCTCTTCCTCTCCTTTCCAAAACTTGGAACATATAATTTTATACATATTATATATATATATATAGATAGATAGATAGATAGATTATCTTTTAACGTGTTTTATAAATTAAACAATGAGAAGTATAGAAAATTTTGCATAAATACCACAACATGAATAAAAGTTTAACTTTTATAAACTAAAATTAAATACGTAGATAAATAAGGGTCTGACCGCATTTCCCGATTGCAACTGTGTTTCCCGATTGCAACCCTCCTGGTTGAGAACCCTGGTATATAATGTAATAGAATAACAGAAGTGACCTTTAACATACTCATTAGACTAGCGTATATGAGTTTCTTTTTATTAATTACTCGTGCATGTATACCGTAAAATTCCACTTCTTCGGACTAAAACCTTTGCCTGTACCAGTGATCTCAAATTGATAAGGCCAAATGCACGATCTGAAAGCAGCTGACGGTCCGAAATTTTTTAACAAAATGAAAAGATTTTTATCAACAAAATTAATTTTTAAGCTAAAATTTAAATATGATACACTAAATATTTATCAAAACATAAATAAACAGTAATAAAAATGACGCAGAAGAAAAAATTTTAATTTATTTTTATTTTCAGTCTGAATCTAAAAGTTGGTATCCTCAAGAAATTTCTGTTGGTTACGCTTTGTAACCGAAGTCTACTGATAGCTAAATATTACACTTTTAGAGTGGCATTTGTTTCAAATAATTCTAATGTGTTGAATTAACCACTAAATAACTTATTTTTAACTGAGACAAAAAATAAAGAAATTACGAAAACTTTACAACCGTAATAAAACTTGGGAATAAATAATGACAGCCGATTATCTTTCTGGAACTTGTTAAGATTTTCTTTGCATATACAGAAAAAAATACATGTCTTTATAAGTAAATAATATTAAACTTTATTATTTTTTACTTCAACTTTCAGCTAAAAACGATTATTCTTACTGAAAATTTTCATAACCGAAAGTATTTATCTTTTGACAAGTACAAACAAAACTGAATCAAATTGATGTCTGTAAAGCTTTGAATAAGATTTTGTTTATATAATTGCGGCAAAGCCTCGAGGACTATCTGCCTAAGGAGAGGGAGGACTTCGTGGAGAACTCTATAAAAGAAACTGGCTCGTATACATATTACACATGGGAAAAACCACGAAAGCGCCCATGCAGCCAGCCCGCTCGCGAGATTCAAGCCTCGGAACGAAACGCGCACTATTCAGCGGCGTTACCGCTCGGCCGCTAGTGGGCCTGAATAGCATTTACATCAGAATATAAGTAATTAAGGGTGTACTCCAACTGCGCTAATGAAAATCCCCCCCCGGGTCGAGATATAGTCCAACTGCGCCAATCAAAACTTCTTTCCCCTGCTGCCTACAGGGTTACAATTTAACTTTTCGAAGCCAATTGTAGCCAAGAGGAAAATTAAAAATAAATAAATAGAATTACATATCTCAAGAACCAGTAAAAAATATCTAACGAGCAGGCTAATTACTTGAATAACCGTAATAAATGCGAGAGCTAACAAAGAAAATAAAAGGTATTGGTAAACATACATATTAGCATTACAAACATCTTTCATTTATGATATTATTATCATAAATTAAATAATTATAAAGCATACAAATTATATTTTTAATAAATTACATCAATAATAGTCAAGATGTCTGAACTAGACTGGAAAATTTAATAGAGTGCAAAAAATTATTCCATATCAAAGTGTGTTAAAGTGTGCTAGAAATATTTTTCGTTAATTAAAGCAATCATGTAAATGTTTGCAGAAATTAATAGTTAAATTTAAAAAAAAAAAAGCTTAGCATGAAATCTATTATAACAACATTACTATGCGTTTGGATCACTGACGTATAAATTGTAAATAAATTTAAATTATTATGCTAAGAAGTTTTTCTAAAATTTATCTAGAAGAAAAGAATTAGATAAACAGTACTGCAAATTAATATAATCAATCAGGCCTCTCAATAAATAAAAGCTTATTTTTTTAACCAAAAACTAAAAATTAGGATGCAAAAGTTTGTGTAATATACTTGGAAATATCTGAACATATAATTAGTTAGAAACATACAATTAAATTAATAACAAGCTAATTAACAGTAACATTAAGCTTAATTTCCATTCAATCTAAAAAACAAGCAATCGATCAGGAGCTCCGCATAACTGAAGTTTTAATGCTATTTTACGTAGATTTGCGTATAAAATAAAAGTTGCACTTGTGAAACAAGTGAATAATGTACTGATAGTCAACAGGAATTAAAATACAGTGGTTAAAAATATAACTACTTGTCAGAAGGTATGCAAAGTTGCCATGGCTAGAGAAATTGAATGATTATAGAAAACTCATAAAGTTAAGCGCTACAGTGTGTAAAAAGAAAATTCTGGAATAAACATGTTAAGAAAATTAGATGGAGAAATAATCCTTAATTTATTGATATCCATATAAACTCTATGCTTTTGGAAAAATGTTACATATAATTTGCACCGAGGTATCAATCACCGAAACTGAGTTAATTTCTTTCCTTATTTTTTCTTATTAGAGGGATTTGTAAAAAGATATGCTAAGGTAAAGGTGAAAATTTTTGCAAATATTTTTAAAGAATAAATTAAAAAAGTATATTTACTTCATGAACTGAAATTTTTACGCTACATTTTGATACAATAAATAAGTACAAAAAAATAAGAGCTGGGGGATCACTGGGACTAGAAACTCGGGTCGAACTACCAATGTTTAGTGACTTTTCCACAAGACCTTTTGAAATTAGGCTGAACAATATATTAAAGAAAATAGAAGATACAGCACACGTAAGAACAAAAGTGGGCTGAATTAGAGATTTACACGTTTGGTGAATGAGTTAAACTTACCTGTATGGCATTATGAAATATTAGGAATGTAGCATAAAAGCGTGAGTGAAGAAGGCAATGGCAATCTAAATCATTGTAATCTAAATGTATATCATTATCAGTATCCGCTATTTATTTCAATACTGCTGAAAAATTATAAATGAATTATATTATAAATCTCTCATGAACTCGTTGCATTATAAATTACAACAGTTAAAAATATTATTAGCGTGATTTAGCGACCATCTTTGTTAACAAATAATTTCAGTAATTAATTTTACAAATTATTCAGCCTAAAACTAGGATGGAAAATAAGCTACATGCTGAAGATTAAGCTTTTCCAAGGTGTTAGAAACATCTTCTGTTAACTAGAGTTGTGATGCAAGAATTTGTAAAAATTATCATTTAAATATAAATTAGCATAAATACAATACAAAGTATATAAATTCTACATACATGAAAACTTGAGTACAGTGCAACAATATGTGAAAAAGGAATGGATTAAAAGGGAACTGAAAATCCCAAGATATGAATATAAGGAAGTTTATTATTTTTTTTAATTATTAATTTATTTATTTTATTATTATGAAAATTCTGCTGACGCTCATAATTATTAATTTATTAATTAAATGTGTATTAGAAATTAAATGTATGCCAAAGTACATAAGGTATAAAAGAGAATAAATATTTAAACGTTTCTAGTATTAAAAATATGGAATTTGTAACAAAGTTAAATAACCTTAAAATAACTTCAATGATTAAAAATGGAAAGCTTAATACGGGAATATATTGCAATAATATTAGTGCGAATTTAGAACTACTTAAGGAGTCCAATTTTTAGATTTAATAAAGATAATCTTTATAATTAAATTAGAACTGTTTACCTAAAATGGTAAATTTGAAAGTTAAAACCATTCTGCTATCTAAGAAGATTTGTTAATATTTATCTAGACAAGAAATTTATTTAAGGTGAGGTACAAATCCGATATTTGATACGTTGATTATGTATCAGTTTTGTGTATGTCATTAATCTATCAATTTTACTATTCAAAACTGATATATATATATATATATATATATATATATCAGCGACTAAAATCTACAACTTGGAAAGTTTTTAATTCTTACAGAGAATAAAAAAGATCTGGCTCATCATTCCTTTAAGCATCATAAAACATTAAAATGAGTGTAAAAGAAATTTATTTTTTAGCACACGCCAAGCTTTAAATTAATATTTGTTTTACATGCACAATTTTTACAATATTGATAAACGAAAATACAGGCTTGCAGTCTCAATAAAATGTCCCGTTAATGGCGATAAACGACTTTTTGTAGCACCCAATCTTCTTGGTAAAAAATGGGGTTAGGAAATGTCGCGCAGTTCGTGGATTAGAAAAGAGGTGGACGGGGATTTTCGATCAAATTTGCCGCAGTTCTTACCCTACCGTAATTAACACTATTTTTGTATTTTCTGAGGCTTTACTCACTTTCGTCTTTACTGCTAATGAAAATAACGTTAAATTAGACTCCAAGTCAATAAAAATTTAAACATTTTCTTTAAATATTCTTGTCATAATTGCACCAATTAATTTACCGAAAATGTATTAGCGAGCCACGTCAAATTCCTATGGGAAACTTAAGTGGCTCGCGGATCACCAGTTTGAGAAACATTAGCCCATGCCAATAAACTGAAAATTTGTCTGTGTTCTGTTTTTTATAATACAGATCGAATATTTGAAGTACGAAAATATATATTTTCTCGTGCGCTAAATATATTTATTTACTTCCGATGTAAGAAAAATAACGTTGATTAACCCCGAAGAGGTAGACGAAGTTGCTTTTCTTGTATTGAGTTTTATTAGGTGCGTCATATTTTTTTTTTTTTTTTTTTTTTTTTTTTTTTTTAATGTACTTATAAGGTATTTCTCCCGCCTTCCTAGCGTGCCTT